ATGGCCTTGTTGGAGGAGGTGTCCCTGAGGTGGACTTTGAACAGCTGCTGCTCCTAGTGTGCACTCTGCTTCGTGCTTCCAGATCAAGAAGGGAGCTCTCTGCTGTGCCTGCTGCAGTCCTGATATCCAACCCCAGGAAACAAAACGTGAGTCCAATTTAATGCTGTCTTTTATGAGTTGCTCTGGCTGTGATGTCTTGCAATAGCAATACAAAGTAACTAAAACTTGTTACTCAGTCATTGCCTTGTGAGGTTACCAGTTACATGGGTGAGCTTCCCATTTGCTATTCCCACAGTAGGTATCTTTTCACCATGAGACAAGCAATTACCTCTGTTGCCAATGGTTCTTCTAGCTGTTCTGGAGGGCTCCATGTCTTGAATACCTTTAACTGTTTTCTGGTCTCCTTTCTCCTCATCACGGGGACGAGAGAGGACTCATGCTCTCAGACTTGATTCCCAATATGTGTAAACAGTACGTATCAATTTACGAACAAAAGAAGTGACAGATGCGTCTTCTGCTAAGGCAATCTTCTCAACTCCTTATTCACCCACTCTACAAAGCTTCTCCCTTTACCACCTCCATGTGTTATCCATAGCTAATTACACTGTCCTTATAAATATGATGAGGGCCATTTACCTGGTTTCTGTGCTGAGGGGACACATGTCACCTCAATGTCAACAGTAACTGACCAGGTAGACAACTCTGAGTGAATAAACTGAAAAACGAGGTACAGTAGACACAGATTTTATCAAATAGCCAGCACAAGAAGGGAAGAGGAGGGAAGAGGCAGAAGGCTTTGAACATAAATGTAAATGTGAATTGAGGGTACTGCCTACTGTGAGTGAGTTGCAAAATCATGATGAGAATCAAGAAGCAGAAGCCACCGGGAGTCTATGGGGGAACAATTAATCACTGTACTGTATAAGAGAAAAGGGGAGAGAGGAGCACATGGAGGGAGGGACAGAAAGAGGGAAGCTGACCCTTTTACTGCCTTTGGGGACCCTACACCTCATTGTTCAGCCTTAATATATGGGGAGGTGCTGAGTCTTAGGGAAGCTCCGTATGTCATGCTCTGCTGATATTCATGGGATGGCTGCCCTTTCCTAAACAGAAACGGAGGAGGGGTGGATTGGGTGTGGGAAAGAGAGGGAGGTTACAGGGACTGACTGGGAGGAAAGGAGGAAGGGGAAACAGTAACTGGGATGTTAAAAAAAAAAAGTGTTTTAAAGGAATAATGGGGGGAGAGAACCATCCTTTACCATCAACTGAAATCCCAGCATTGATATCAAGGTT